TGTGGCATCACAGCACATTTACTCAAATATTTTATATGCCCGTAAAAATATACATTATATCATTAAGAACGAAGATATCCATAATATTAACCTTAGAACTAAGTCCAAACTCATGGTACCACGATTTCGTTTAACTAAGGTCAACGATTCTTTTATGGGGAACTGTATACGTTTCTACAATAAGATTCCGGAGAATATATTAAGATTATGATTTCCCAAGTTTAAAACTTACATTAAAAGCATTTTAATTGAAAAGTCATATTATTAAAATAGAAGAGTATGTGTTAGATAAAGAAGTATGGAACGACAACATGAGTCTAGATTCCTTTCAATTATGATTCAAAGTGTATTCCATAGCATTTAAGTTCATTTGAAAAGAGTAATCTTAGGGAGGTCAGCGTAGTGAATTAGCAAAAGCTTAAAAAATGACGTTTCCAAGTAAGAAAAATTACCTATGAAATAAATGATTAATTGACTTTGACTATCCCCACCGATTTAAACCACATTGATAAACGAAATACGTGTACGTAAATAAAATTTTCGTACAACGTACTGAAAGAAAACGTAGTAAATCATATTCCTTTATTTTCTTTATCATTATTCCATATTTATTGATTATACTTAAACTTCAACCAAAAAGGCTTGTAAGGCACCCTATATTGCAAACTTATAAAATAACATAGTACGAACACAAAATATGATATATCAGTCATTTTGCAGGAGCACATCAAAATATAGGCAGTAAAGGCCCTCATATACCGGACAATTTTTTATTTTAAAACTAGCTGATGCCCGCGACTTCCTCAACGTAGAATAAGTATTTCGAGTAGCCTACTGTAGGTACTGTATACTAATTATATGTTCAGTTTTATTTGTTCTTCATACAAATTTTATCCCCTATTTCAACATCTAAGACTTATTTTTGTGACAAAAGCTAGCCTATGTCCTTCTCCTAGGTCACATCGATCTGTATACCAAAATTAGTCAAATTGGTGCACCGGTTTAGGCATGGAAACGTAACATACAGAGTTACTTTCGCATTTGTAATATTTGTTTGGATTACATACCATTTATTTCGAATAACTTTTACTATAACTGTGAGTCTATTTGTGTTAGTAAGTAGCTTAATAACTAGGTGTTAGTTTTAAATAAATGATTGATATGTAATGCATACGCATTTATGTGGGCACAGTCTAGTCTGTTCGCAATCATATTCAGGATGATGATTGGCCTTCACGATCCGTAGTTTCATTGATCGAAACGACGAATCGATAGTGTACGTTTATGTCGTTAACGATTAACTTGCAACGCCCGGGGTGTAGTGATGAGTCGATACGATTATCGTGACGATCGATCGAAACGAGGAATCGTCAGTATATGGGGGCCTAAAGACTTGTATTCACTAAACGATTATCACTAGTTCCAGGTTTCTTAATTTCTTATGACTTTCTATTCTTTTTCCGACATTCAAATCGAAATAACATTATAGTGAAGTATTACGTTCCCAATATACTGTATTTTTTTAAATGAATCCTAACGTAAGTTTTCCAAATTTATTGAAATTTATATATGTATAACTGAATATGTTATCGATGATTTTGTAGTCATGGCTAGGACAATGGAGGACCACATTACAATGCTCGATGACCTCAGTAGAGCCTCCGAAAGAGCCGGTCTTAAAATGAACATGGACAAGACGTAGATCATGTCGATAACCATATACGGACAACTCCCGTGAAGATAGGAAACTCTACACTAGAAGTTTTTGACGATTATGTATACCTAGGACAAATTATCTAGGTATACATAATCCTAGGTTCAACTTCGAGAAAGAGGTCAATCGTCGAACCATAATCGTCGAAGCCAACTCGGCTGGGCAGCGTTCGGGAAATTACGCCATGTCTTCTTGTCCAAAATATCACAGTGTCTCAAGACAAAACTCTTCGATCAGTGTGTGTTGCCAGTGATGACTTACGGCACTGAAACGTGATCGCTCACAATGGGCCTCAAAAGAAGGCTCAGGGTCACTTAAAGGGCAATGGAAAGGGTAATGCTCGGAGTTTCCTTATGACATCAGTAATGAGGATATCCGTAAGGGATGCAGACAAACCGACATAGCACTAAGAATTGCAAAACTTAAGTGAAAGTTAAGTCCCGCAGAACAGATGGCCGATGGGGCCGAACAGTTCCCGAGTGGCGATCGCGTAACGATAGACGCGGCGTAGGCAGACAACACACAAGTTGGACTGATAATCTAGTGACGGCTGCGGGAATCCGTTGGATGCAAGCGGCCCAGGACATGTCGTCGTGGCAGTCTTTGGGGGAGGCCTATTTTCAGCAGTGCACGCCTTTTGGTTGAAATGATGATGATGAACGGTGATTTTATAGTACAGCGGCCTATCTCAAAGGCATCTAATTCAGAATGGTTTACAAAAAAAACTGAGGCGTATTCGGCGCGCAAATCCACGAGTCGTAAATAGCATCAATAGGCCCAAATGTGTTGTTGCCCAATGGTTTATTCACAATAAAATTTACAAACTCTGAATACAGTTGTCTCAAAAAATGAGCTATTTTGATTTGGGCTTGTACTACTGAAAAACAGAGACATGCTTAGGAACGCAATACAATTTACATCTTAAAAATAAGTTTTACTATAACATTTTTAAATACTTTTAAATACTTACTATAAGCTACACCATTCGCACAATTTTAAGATTACATATTTTATATTTATCTAAAGACATATCTTTTACAGTCGATTTCGAATACAACAATTCCGTTGATTAACTTAAAACACAAACGCACCATCGCTAAGTACATACGCGTAAGTACTATATGAGATTTGAAGTCCAGTGTTTCGATGTAAAATCGATATTCCAAAAAAACATTTTTGAACGTTCCGAAACATTAATTTATCTAACATATAAAAATTTCCTATGTATATTAGTGCCTTTTAGTTAACAATTTTTAAATGGAATAAAATTAAATGCAAGTTTTTTTAACTAGAGTTAGGATAAAAATACACAATCCAAATCTTGTTTAAAGACATGAGTATCCGATGTGAAATATGGCACGAATATAATTGAATTTTTCCGCAATTGCGCTATGAAGTTGTTTTGCATATTGGTTCCAAAATTAAAATATGCATTCTCACTATTTCATCCAGTTGTAAAGATATAAACCTATTGTACTTAAAAATTTTTTTTTCGGGCATTCTATCGGAACATAATGTGTTATACCTTCTTACTCATATATCAATGATATTGACGTTCTAACCACAACCGCTTTGTTAATTGCTATGATAATACGATACGACTGTGACCTAATATATCAATTAAATCATTAATATTGTTCGTTAATATTAAAAAGAATGGAGGTTCACAAAAACTCGTCTCGTTTTCCGAATTACGCGCCATTAAAAACGATTTCAACTGCGTTACATATTTTTATGAAATATGTTCTTCATTTAGTCATCATCACACGTAACTCATAGATTCCGACGAGAGTTCATGTGAAACATACTTGTGATGGGATGAAAAAATGGTAAAGATGTGTGCGGGTAAGCTCTGCTTAACCCTCTCTCTCTCTCTCACACACACACACTCATACACATACTCACGCACACACACGCCCGCGCGCACGCACACACTCACGCACGCACGCACGCACGCACGCACGCACGCACGCACGCACACACACACACACACACACACACACACACACACACACACACACAC